ATTAATATAATTCCCTATCATCTAGCTGGCTAGCTAGCTAGCTGTCCACACACACTTCATTTTGATTTTACAAGACATTAGAACATTCCGCCAGTCCCCAAAGTGTTGTGATCGCTGGGTCCTGGGTCTGCTGTGTCTGAGGGCTAAGTCAGCAGCAGTCACCCCCCATACAGGATCGAGAACCTAAAGCTGCACCTTCTCCCTTCATCGGCACCTCCAACACCAAGTGAGCACCACAGTTTGCCAGAAACTCGACCAGGCACCGAGGGCTACAGAAATGAAGAGGCCCTCCAGGCATGGGGGGCTGAGGCCGCCATTCCCATATGTGCTGTGTCACCAACTCCTCATCCTGTCCCTGAGACATTGTAGGCACTTGATGGATATCTGACAAGTGAATGGACCAATGGCAGCATCTCTGCTTACAGAGACACACCAGAGGTAAAGTAATGATGTGTTTCCAGCAATAATGAATGGCCCTTCGCTACGGGACTCCAGGTCCTCGTGGAAGGAATACGAGGATGTTTACGATGGCAAGCAAGGGTAAACTTACAGCAAGGGCAAAGTACAAAGAACCAAATAAAAATGGAGGCAAAGGGGTAAAGAGAGGAGCATGCCCAGGACATGGGAGACAGCCTGGGTGTCAGCTGTGTCTCAGTCTCCCACCCAGCCCCACCAGACACGTGCCTGCCTTCGGCAAGAGGCCGTCGCCACACGAGCCTCAGCGGGGAAGGCTTTGTAAAGCTCAGCACTCCATGCCCCTGTGCCGTCGGAGTGTTACTGCCTTCCAGGATGATGCTGTTGTACAATTCTCTGCAACCGTCTTAGAAGGGAGATGGCCCCAGAGCCACGATCTAGAATATTCTCCCAATGACGTGCCCCTGGGTCTGGAAAGCACATTCTAAGTCACGCTGAGGATAGAAGTGCTTCACTCCAATGGCCAATACCTTCATCTCAGACACATTTACCTGCTCGGCACGGCTCCTGCGATTTCCACAGGTGAGGCAGGGACCAGGAGGCTCCATGTGCCAGCTAGAACCCATGTGCTGGAAGGGGACATGCTCTACAGTCTACCTGCAAGGGGTTTGGTTCTCTTGCTTTCAGATGTTCTCGGATTCTGTGGTTTCTGACCTCTTCCATAGTCACAGGAAATAACCCCTTAGAACCAATCTGTGTGTGTGTGTGTGTGTGTGTACACATACACACATCCTCCTGGTTCTGTTTCTCTGGAGAATCTGGACGAAGAAATCAAGCATGTTTCACATGGCCCCAGGGGCACCAGAGAGTGACAGGGGTACCGCAGGGAAAACAGCAGAGAAAGCACTGGGGGGTGGAGATGGGGGCAGCACGATGTCATCCAATCCTCTTTATACACCTGGGGAAACTGAGACCCAGAGAGGGTGAGTGTCTGACTCAAGGTCACACAGCAGGTTAGTGCTGAAAGCCAAGAACAAAACCACACCTCAAGCCCTCCCTTCAGTGTCCTCCTCACAGACCGCATGGGGGCTCTTGGAATAACGTTCAATTTAATTATGTGGATAAACTGAAAGAAAAATAATCCAACAGAAGGTTTTACTGAGCACTTTGTGCCTGGCTTTACGCTCCAGGCTTTAATATGCTTATTTCATTTAATCTTCTCAGCAACCCGGCAAGGCGGGCATTAGTGTCCCTTTTTGACAGATAAGCTGCAAATCAGAGAGGGAAAATAATTCCCGTGGGGCAAAGCTGCTGGCTTGCGATGGGGAGGGGATCTGAGCTGCAACTGCAAAGCCGAGGCCCCAGCCACCTGGGTCAGCGGGAAAGAGTGTGGCTGCAGCAGGAGGGAGGGCGGGCCCCAGCGAGCGGGAAGGGGACCCTGGCCTCCTGCGGTTTTTCATGTGGTCAGCTCCTTTCGCTCTGCAAACGTCTTTGCCCAGAAAGGCTTATTCGGAAAGGAACACCTGGTGTCTAACCCTTCCAGCTGATGCCGCAGTGTGCGTGGACCCCCATGCTATTTGCTAATGCACTGGGCTTCTTGGGGATTTGGATGCACGGCTCCTAGAGGAGGACGGGGGAGTGGATTTCATTCTCTGCCTGGCAGCCCTTGCCTGGTGGGAAGGCACGGGGTGGGTGCACAGCACTGAGCCCACATAATTGGATGGGACCCAAATGGAAAATACACAGGAAGAGAATCAGGTCCCGAAAATAACCCATTGAGCTCAAAGCTGCATGAGCAAGTTCACTGCTGAGCACCCACAAATAAGCTATTTTATCTGACTCTTGTAAAAGACAGGGATGTCTTCTTTGACACACATCCCCAAAAATAGCCAAGAAAAGAAAAAGAAGGGGGAAAAACTATACTGTATCATACGCCTGCTAGGGGTTTATTTTTGTACTGCCTTTAGACATATTAACTCCTGAGATCCTCTCTAAAAGCAGGTATTATCCCATTCTCGGGTTGAGAACTTGCATTTCCAAGGGTGAGTGAAACCCTGCCCAGTCCCAGGGCTCCGAGGAGCACAGCAGGTGTCCAACACCTTAACCTTCTCTCTCCCGTGTCACACCGTCTCAAGGGCAGGGACCCAGCTGGGTCACACTCAGTATCTCGGATGCCATAGAGTCAGTGCACCCTGACCCAGCCCGTCCCAGCCCAAGGGCTCTGCACAGTCCCCAAGGGCAGCTGCGCAAGGTGCTGGACCTGGGCATGTGACGCTGAGTAAGCTGGCCTCTATCCCCAACCACTCGGACCCACAGGGAGGAGGGACAGAGATGCTTAGAGTAGAGCGTGAAAGAAACATCTGGGAGAGAAAACAAAGACTAGGAAATCCAAGACTGCTCCTCAGAGATGGTGGCACCTGAGCGAGGCATCAGAGGATGTGCATAAGAGTTCCTTATGGGACACTGTATCATAATTGCCCTCACAGCCTCCCGTGGACCTAGCAAAGGCCATGTCTTGGAATATGTGTTAGAAATGCTTTGAATTGATGTAGAAACTCTGATATTCCCTAATGTCCTATGCCACATTATAGAAAATGTCAGAAAATGGTCCGAGCTGGAGATATTCAAGTAGATCTGCTGGGGACCCTCTGGGAACACACTTGCGGGGACTGAGGAGGAGGAGGACCCAGCTGAGGGAGCAGTGGAGGTGTGAGGTGGTCACAACCAAGGTTTCGGTCCACCCAAGGGGAGTCTGGAGCCAGGTCTGGCTCTCAGCAGGGGGTCAGGGCTGATCCAGGGAAGCACGCAGCGTCCACTCATGACAAGGCGTCAGTGTGTGGCCGTGGGGATGCAGAGAGGGAGCAGGAAGTGCCTGCCTTCCACTCCTTCCCAATCCCATGCAGGAGCCCTTGAAGTCATCATGTGCAGGATATAATGCAGACACGCCACTCCCCAACCCCGGACTGGCTGGCCCCTGCCTTCCGCTACCTTCTTACTATTTGCTGGGTCCAATGTCAAAGAGGAGGATGTGGTTCCTAGAGTCTGAGCAGCTGCCTGAGGTCCTACATCTACAGGTCACTGGAGACCACCTTCCAGAAAGTTCTATCGCATGGAGCCCTGGGTGTTTTATGCAAAGGATCAATCACGGAACACGGAATCAAAAACTAATGATGTTCTGTATGGTGGCTAAGATAACATAATACAAAAAATTATAAGAAACATAAAATAAATGGAGATAATCTTCCAAAAAAAAGAAAAAAGAAAGAAAGAAAGAAAGAAAAGAAAAGAAAAGAGAAAAGAA